TAATTAGAACAGCAAAACGATTTCCGGTGCTAAAATAGCACCTGCGGCAGCGATGCTTTTAGTGCGAGCAGTTTTTGTCGATAACGTAAAAAGAAAATTATGTCGTGTTTTTTTTTTTTTTTTTAGGATCTCTACATCACCAATAAGGTCACCATCCCTCCCCCCTTTCCCCCCCCCCCCCCCCACCCCAAAAGTAATCGATGTCAAATAGCCACAGATGCATATGCGAAATACGTAAACGGGAAATACCACTATAAATGCCTCTGCGCTCAGCTATATGCAAACGACTCGGCCCTGGTAGTGCAGTGCGCCAGATCCGCGTGACAAGCAGTGGCCTCACCGATCGTTTGATCGTAGGTGAGAGGGATCACAGTTCTTGCACCGCATTAGATTTCACGTTGTGGGCCGTTTTCTTTGGCGCAGCAGCATTCAAATTTTTTTGCGTGTAAATTATATGGCGTCAAATGAAATAATATTGCCAAACAAATAAATATCGAAGTCGTCCTGGGCGCCGCCATAACAAAACCTTCAGTTTTTGCTTTCCCTGATTACTTTCACTTCCCTTCATCATTGCCAAGGATGTGTCGTTGTCATTTTAGATTGTACTGTGTCCCTCCGTTCAGCATTGGCCTTTGTGGAGACTCGTCAACGCTCGCTTTAGTGGCTCGGCATCTAGGTAAGACGAGAGAAGGTGAGCAATTGGCGGCTGTAATCTGGCGCGTGTGAAAATCATCGATACATGTTTACCCAGAAACGTTTAGTTGCAGAAATGGAACTACAAATGTTGGGAAGCGTCGCATCTCAAGCCTTGAGCACCACCTTCAAAGAACATTTTGTGGGCCGGAGTTACGCGGCCTTGAAACAGGGGCCGGGCAATATTTTTCATCAAGAGGAACTTCACCGGATTTTTCACTCGGGTAAGCTGCGCTCAGTGTTCTGAAGATTAAGCTACCTCTTGTTTTAGTTTTACATCTCCGGCAATTACCGTTCAAAAGACCAAGTTTGCCATACGTATGCGGAATAAAAACAATTCCGTAAAGCGTAAGAGCGAGCTGGCAAACCGTGAAGCACACCTGAGGAAAAGCCGTCGCATCGCCTTGGTTATCGGCGGTGCTACGTGAAGCGATTTTCGCTCACATGAAATTCACGCTTTAGCAATACCCATGGGCGTCTGCAAAACACACACACTCTCTCTCTCTCTTTCTCTTTTTTTCTTTTTAGACGAGAGCGATTACGATTGGTCAAGCGGGAATTATGTCTCAGTAGGATCGGAGTTATGCGGCCTTGAAAATATTATTCTGCTTTCAGCGATGTAAATAAGATTAACGTAAGATTCAACTTTCACGGTGCCGCTTTTATAAACACGACGGTCATGCCGTCACAAGTAAGAACCATATCTATATCTTCTACTTACTCAATCTTTGAAATTTCTCTTGTAACAGTTATATGCTACAAGTACCTTGGGGTGCACATCACTTCTAACATGTCATGGAAAACTCATACTGACCACATTATTGCCAACGCTAACTTCATGATTGGTTACCTAAAGAGAAACTTTAGGTTCGCCCCAGTGTCCCTAAAACTACTAATGTATAAAACCCTTGCCCATTCCAAACTAGACTATGCTGCAGCAATCTGGGATCCTGGTCTCTCAACTCTCGTGACTGACCTTGAAGCCCTAGAGAATCGCGGTGCCCGTTTTATATTTACTAACCATCATCGCACATCTAATGTCTCAACTGTGAAAACTAATTTATCACTTCCTGCTCTTTCATTACGCCGAAAAATATCTCGTTTGTGTATTTTTTTTTTTTATAAAATTTATCATTCCAATACTTCGCTAAAAAACAAACTAATGTTAAATCCTTTTCATCTCGCCGCGCGTAGATCATCAATATAAAGTCGGAATTTCTCATTGCATCACCTCAGCCTATTATAACTCTCTTATTCCAAGGACATCTTCAGAGTGTAATCGCCTTCCCGCGCAATTAGTAAACATACCGTCCTTTGACTTTATATTGAATTAGTAAACATACCGTCCTTCGTAACTGGTGCGAGTTGCAACAATAAAAAATTCTCAAGCTAGTGCTGCGTGTCTTGGTCGTCTCGGTTCTTTGTTGGTGTATACACCAACTCATGTTTACAAACAAACCGGAGCGCCCCTAGCGGACGTCACCGGCGCCGCGCATGCGCCGTGGTTGGTGGGCAAGAAGCCCGCCGTCGCCCATAAACAAACCATTGAATTGCGTTGTTGTCGGCGTCGGTGGGAGTCCCCGTGCTCTTTTTCGCGTTGGAATTGTTGATTCTACGTCCTCCTAACAATATCTGACTACTTGAGCGGCTTCAGCAAAACTATCGAGGCAAAACTTTGCGTGAATAATGTGACGTGCGGTGATTCATTTCATGTGGACGCCGCAGAATGGGCGCTAAGGCCTGACCCCACGTCGAGATTCTGCTCGCTATTTTCAGTCGCGACGTCGCTCGGACTGCAAAAGCGTGGACCGTAGCTGAGATGGTGGACATCGATACTGAAAACCTCAGGTAGAATCGGGCATTACAAGTCGGTGATGATCACTGGTAACAATGATCAACAACTTCTTGTATCTGTTTACACTTAGCCGACTTACCCCAACCAACCTTCAAAAGTGTTTTGAGGCCTGCACTTAGTTCTTATCGCAATTACCGGGTCAACGTTTGGTTTACGAGCCGCTGTCGTTTGAACGAACTGACGACAAAAAGCAGCCAAGTTTGAAAGAGCAGACGACAGTTCGAACGCACGCGCAATGGAGTACGAGCAAGAAGCACCGCGTCCCGCGTCAACAAAACCATTCGAATGTCACGTTGGCGGCGTCTGTGTGAGTCTGCATACTTTTTTTCGCGTTGGAGTTGTCGATTCTACGTCCTCATCGCAATGTCTTACCACTTCAATCGCCTGAGCGAAATTATCAAGGCTCGTTACGCCGCTAAACTATCCGTAAATAATTTGACGTGCGGCGATTCATTCGCATGAACGCTGCAGAATGGACGCCAAAACCATGATGAGATTCTTGTAGCTATTTTCGGTCGCGACGTCGCTCGTGCTGCAAAAGTGTAAAAGGTAGCGGCGATGATCGACGTCGATACTGAAAATCGGAAGCGGGAACAGACAAAGCGTAACAAGTAGGTGATGGCCACCGGTACCAATAATTAACATCTTGTATCTACTGTTTACACCGAGCCTACTTAAGTCTTTTGAGGCCTGCAATTACTTCTTATTGCAATCACCGGGTCAAAGTTTGGTCTGCGGGCCTCTTTTGTTTGAACGAGCAGACGACAAAAAGCAGACAACTTTGAAAAAGCAGACGAAAGTTCGAACGATCAGGCGGCCGTGTGAATTTGAAGACGCACTGAATCCGTGGGTGGTCCGGACAACTTGGGGGTTTTCTCTCGGTCATGTTGGAGCAAAGCAAATACATCTGGCGACTACAAATTGTGGCCCGCACACGCAATCGTAGTTCGACAGCGTCAGGTTTGCCCTTTTCACGGCTACAATCCACGTTCTCGGACGAACGGAGGGGGCAAAAACACATGAAAACTGATCTTCAAACCTTCCCAGACTCTCTTGGTACAGCCCCCGTCGCAGAATTTTGACGAGAAGGCAGGTTTATTGTCTCGTTTCTTTCAAAGGAACACAGGAATGCATGTCTGGCACGGCGACTTCTGCCCACCGCCTCAGACCGGAAGTGCGTCCGGCGCGCCACCACCGCGGCGTGACGTAGGAGAGTTGAGTTGCGGCATTCTCGAACTAGGCGCGTTACTGCGCGTGTCCCTGGTTTTGAGAGTGCATGCCAGTGTTGCCGGGCTTTGCTGAGCTGTGGAGTTGCTTGTCCGGCAGCGGTTTGCATGGGTACTCGTTCGGTTTTACGGAAAAGGAGTGTGGTCCGGAAAATATTTCTGTATTCGGTGGTATGAGGCATGGCGTACAACGATCCCAAATCGACTGGGCGCCACTGCGTCGTTGTAGGATGCACGAACAACCAGCGGAAGCGCAAGCTTGACGACGAGTGTATCTGCAGCGAACATGGCGTTGTCAGAAATCGGTGCGGGTGTGTCTCCTTCCAACTGCATCGGATTCCAGCTGACGAAAGTTTGCGTTTGGAGTGGTTAAGAGCTATAAATAGAAAAGGTTTTGTTCCAACTATATCGTCTCGCGTATGTTCCCAACACTTCGTCGGTGGGAAGCGCACGGATCAAAACAACGTTCCGATGATCAACCTCGGTTATGCCAGAGTGATTTTGAGATCCAAGCTGTTCAGCCGATGCGATTCCCGGTTGCAGCGATGCTATTTACTGATCTTACTCTAGGTGGTGATGGGCCGTCGGCGTTTGATTCGCTACCAAAATGGACCGTCCCCGTGTAAAAAGGTTCGTGTTGTCGAAACAACAGCCGAGTCAACAAACCGCATGCAAGCGATTTGGCGAGCGACGAGACAAGCTAGCGACGGCGACCCGCTTCGCTGTCGCTCGGTCAGTCGTGCAACGATGCAAACTGCATGAAAGTGACGGGAGCGAGCGACCAAGACGATGAGCGACGTTTTCCAGGAATCCAAAAACCGAGCGGCGGGACGGGCGACAGTGAGAAATCTCCGTCGCTCGTCACTGACTCGTCGTTGCCGCCGTCGCTCGTCTTCGTCGCTCGCTAAATCGCTAAAATGCGGTTCGGTCCGCGAGTGTTAGATATGTGCCATGACTTTTAATATTTACCATTGCAGAATAAACCTGTACCAGTGAGTGCTGACTATGGTACAGGCTACCAGCATGCTAATCAGGTATGCTTTTGTTACAAAAATTTCTATCATTTCTTTTTAGCCCTGTATTTTCTCAACTTTATGAACTATCCTTGGGGCAAAACTCCTTAGACAATTATTACGGCAGAGATAACTGGGAAGTTACTCCATTGTTTGTATCAGTAATTGCCTTATTGCTTTGACTAATCTCTTCACTATGATTATTTACATAATTTAAAATACTTTAAGATGCTCCATTCTAAACATGTTTTCTGCTCAGTTTGGAACCATGCCACACAGAATGATCCAAACAGCAGACCCTGTAAGTACCTCCACGAACCCTGTGAATCGGCTGGGCATTACACACGTTTGCTCGAGCTTTATCTTGTCGCATTTGTTTCTCAGACGCAGTTTCTGCACTCTCACTCGTTCACGAGGACCTCCCTGACCGAAGAACCGCTGACCGAGCCGGTGAGATATTTGTGCCCTTCGTGACCAACTCGCCCTCCCATTTCCTTCGACATACTTATCAGAGTTTTGCCTCGTCCTTCCCAGGCTGAAGCCGAGCAACGCACTTCGAGACAGACGGCAGACCCTGTAAGTACCTCCACGAACCCTGTGAATCGGCTGGGCATTACACACGTTTGCTTGAGCTTTATCTTGTCGCATTTGTTTCTCAGACGCAGTTGCTGCACTCTCACTCGTTCACGAGGACCTCCCTGACCGAAGAACCGCTGACCGAGCCGGTGAGATATTTGTGCCCTTCGTGACCAACTCGCCCTCCCATTTCCTTCGACATACTTATCAGAGTTTTTCCTCGTCCTTCCCAGGCTGAAGCCGAGCAACGCACTTCGAGACAGACGGCAGACCCTGTAAGTACCTCCACGAACCCTGTGAATCGGCTGGGCATTACACACGTTTGCTCGAGCTTTATCTTGTCGCATTTGTTTCTCAGACGCAGTTGCTGCACTCTCACTCATTCACGAGGACCCCCCTGACCAAAAAACCGCTGACCGAGCCGGTGAGATATTTGTGCCCTTCGTGACCAACTCGCCGTCCCATTTCCTTCGACATACTTATCAGAGTTTTGCCTCGTCCTTCCCAGGCTGAAGCCGAGCAACGCACTCCGAGACAGACGGCAGACCCTGTAAGTACCTCCACGAACCCTGTGAATCGGCTGGGCATTACACACCTTTGCTCGAGCTTTATCTTGTCGCATTTGTTTCTCAGACGCAGTTGCTGCACTCTCACTCGTTCACGAGGACCTCCCTGACCGAAGAACCGCTGACCGAGCCGGTGAGATATTTGTGCCCTTCGTGACAAACGCGTCCTCCCATTTCCTTCGACATACTTATCAGAGTTTTGCCTCGTCCTTCCCAGGCTGAAGCCGAGCAACGCACGCCGAGACAGACGGCAGACCCTGTAAGTACCTCCACGAACCCTGTGAATCGGCTGGGCATTACACACCTTTGCTCGAGCTTTATCTTGTCGCATTTCTTTCTCAGACGCAGTTGCTGCACTCTCACTCGTTCACGAGGACCTCCCTGACCGAAGAACCGCTGACCGAGCCGGTGAGATATTTGTGCCCTTCGTGACCAACTCGCCGTCCCATTTCCTTCGACATACTTATCAGAGTTTTGCCTCGTCCTTCCCAGGCTGAAGCCGAGCAACGCACTCCGAGACAGACGGCAGACCCTGTAAGTACCTCCACGAACCCTGTGAATCGGCTGGGCATTACACACCTTTGCTCGAGCTTTATCTTGTCGCATTTGTTTCTCAGACGCAGTTGCTGCACTCTCACTCGTTCACGAGGACCTCCCTGACCGAAGAACCGCTGACCGAGCCGGTGAGATATTTGTGCCCTTCGTGACAAACGCGTCCTCCCATTTCCTTCGACATACTTATCAGAGTTTTGCCTCGTCCTTCCCAGGCTGAAGCCGAGCAACGCACGCCGAGACAGACGGCAGACCCTGTAAGTACCTCCACGAACCCTGTGAATCGGCTGGGCATTACACACCTTTGCTCGAGCTTTATCTTGTCGCATTTCTTTCTCAGACGCAGTTGCTGCACTCTCACTCGTTCACGAGGACCTCCCTGACCGAAGAACCGCTGACCGAGCCGGTGAGATATTTGTGCCCTTCGTGACCAACTCGCCGTCCCATTTCCTTCGACATACTTATCAGAGTTTTGCCTCGTCCTTCCCAGGCTGAAGCCGAGCAACGCACTCCGAGACAGACGGCAGACCCTGTAAGTACCTCCACGAACCCTGTGAATCGGCTGGGCATTACACACGTTTGCTCGAGCTTTATCTTGTCGCATTTGTTTCTCAGACGCAGTTGCTGCACTCTCACTCGTTCACGAGGACCTCCCTGACCGAAGAAGCGCTGACCGAGCCGGTGAGATATTTGTGCCCTTCGTGACCAACTCGCCCTCCCATTTCCTTCGACATACTTATCAGAGTTTTGCCTCGTCCTTCCCAGGCTGAAGCCGAGCAACGCACTCCGAGACAGACGGCAGACCCTGTAAGTATTTCCACGAACCCTGTGAATCGGCTGGGCATTACACACGTTTGCTCGAGCTTTATCTTGTCGCATTTGTTTCTCAGACGCAGTTGCTGCACTCTCACTCGTTCACGAGGACCTCCCTGACTGAAGAAACGCTGACCGAGCCGGTGAGATATTTGTGCCCTTCGTGACCAACTCGCCCTCCCATTTCCTTCGACATACTTATCAGAGTTTTGCCTCGTCCTTCCCAGGCTGAAGCCGAGCAACGCAGGCCGAGACAGACGGCAGACCCTGTAAGTACCTCCACGAACCCTGTGAATCGGCTGGGCATTACACACGTTTGCTCGAGCTTTATCTTGTCGCATTTGTTTCTCAGACGCAGTTGCTGCACTCTCACTCGTTCACGAGGACCTCCCTGACCGAAGAACCGCTGACCGAGCCGGTGAGATATTTGTGCCCTTCGTGACCAACTCGCCCTCCCATTTCCTTCGACATACTTATCAGAGTTTTGCCTCGTCCTTCCCAGGCTGAAGCCGAGCAACGCACTCCGAGACAGACGGCAGACCCTGTAAGTATTTCCACGAACCCTGTGAATCGGCTGGGCATTACACACGTTTGCTCGAGCTTTATCTTGTCGCATTTGTTTCTCAGACGCAGTTGCTGCACTCTCACTCGTTCACGAGGACCTCCCTGACTGAAGAAACGCTGACCGAGCCGGTGAGATATTTGTGCCCTTCGTGACCAACTCGCCCTCCCATTTCCTTCGACATACTTATCAGAGTTTTGCCTCGTCCTTCCCAGGCTGAAGCCGAGCAACGCAGGCCGAGACAGACGGCAGACCCTGTAAGTACCTCCACGAACCCTGTGAATCGGCTGGGCATTACACACGTTTGCTCGAGCTTTATCTTGTCGCATTTGTTTCTCAGACGCAGTTGCTGCACTCTCACTCGTTCACGAGGACCTCCCTGACCGAAGAACTGCTGACCGAGCCGGTGAGATATTTGTGCCCTTCGTGACCAACTCGCCCTCCCATTTCCTTCGACATACTTATCAGAGTTTTGCCTCGTCCTTCCCAGGCTGAAGCCGAGCAACGCACTCCGAGACAGACGGCAGACCCTGTAAGTATTTCCACGAACCCTGTGAATCGGCTGGGCATTACACACGTTTGCTCGAGCTTTATCTTGTCGCATTTGTTTCTCAGACGCAGTTGCTGCACTCTCACTCGTTCACGAGGACCTCCCTGACTGAAGAAACGCTGACCGAGCCGGTGAGATATTTGTGCCCTTCGTGACCAACTCGCCCTCCCATTTCCTTCGACATACTTATCAGAGTTTTGCCTCGTCCTTCCCAGGCTGAAGCCGAGCAACGCAGGCCGAGACAGACGGCAGACCCTGTAAGTACCTCCACGAACCCTGTGAATCGGCTGGGCATTACACACGTTTGCTCGAGCTTTATCTTGTCGCCTTTGTTTCTCAGACGCAGTTGCTGCACTCTCACTCGTTCACGAGGACCTCCCTGACCGAAGAACTGCTGACCGAGCCGGTGAGATATTTGTGCCCTTCGTGACCAACTCGCCCTCCCATTTCCTTCGACATACTTATCAGAGTTTTGCCTCGTCCTTCCCAGGCTGAAGCCGAGCAACGCAGGCCGAGACAGACGGCAGACCCTGTAAGTACCTCCACGAACCCTGTGAATCGGCTGGGCATTACACACGTTTGCTCGAGCTTTATCTGGTCGCATTTGTTTGTCAGACGCAGTTGCTACACTCGCACTCCTCCATTAAGACGTCTCTGATCAAACAGCCGGTGAGATGCCCATGCCCTGAATTATTTAGATATTCTCAATTTCCGGCGGGTACATTGATGCTGATCAGAAAAGCTCCTACTTACCCTTCTAATCATGCGAATGTTTAGGGGTAGTTTTTCATAGAACTAAAATTGGCATGTTAGTGATGAAATATGTGCTGCCTAGTTTTTAATTTAAAAATCAACAAAGATTGAGGTTTCCGGCACCCTTCAACTCCTTCACCATCTTGCGAGTCACGTGCGCTGTGAAATCAGTGGGGGACCCCGTGAACCCCACGCGTCCCCAAGAAGCACGCCTGCACAGCGCGCTTCTTGGGAGCCGTTCGGCCGCCCCGCCATTTCCCGTGTCACAACTGCCATTGTCGTCTTACCATTTGTGATTATCATCTCTCGGAGTTTCTTTCACACTACAGACACAACGTGCGCAGACTTATGCCGTAGTTGTTCAGACATAATCAAATGTCGTAGACACCAAGACGCGGTGAAGAGTACGGTGCAGACGACATTGCGCCTAGCACCCGTCATTATGTAGCGGAGCACGTGACATCTCGTACCACGTGATGGCCATGTTCTTGGCGGCCCGAGGCCAATGCTGCTAGACAGAACCGAAGTTTCGGTTTCAATTTTTGCTCGCTTTTTCTTTTTCCTGTGTTCTAGTTTATGAGTGATTAAATTAAAGTAGTTATTATTTTTGATCCAGGTGTCGCAGAGGGACCAGTCGACGCAGTGGGAAATGGACCCATATGATGACCATACATACTGCCAACTTCCGAGGATTGGACTGCGGCGCCTTTCAATGTCGGAGAAGTTAAAGGGCGACGACATTCAGTTTTACACTGGTATCTCCAGCGACGTTTTCAGACAGCTGGCAAGTGCAGTGTCAGCACTGGGACCTGTCAGCAGCAAACTTTCCACCGCTGAACAGCTCCTCATGTGCCTCATGAGGCTACGTCTAGGTCTGCTGTATGGTCACTTGGCTAGAATTTTTGAAGTGTCCGTAAGCACAGTCGGAAATATAGTGAAAACCATGATGGTGCTTCTGAAGAAGGTGATGAAGCTGGTGGTTGTCTGGCTGTCGAGACCCCAGATTCAAAACAGCTTGCCACAGTCGTTCATTGAGAATGGCTTTGGTAAAACAACGTGCATTGTTGACTGCACGGAAGTGTTTCTTCAAAGGCCCACAAAACTGATGGCGAGGGCACAGACATACAGCGCGTACAAAGGACACAACACGATCAAATTTCTCACTGTCATTGCCCCAAATGGTCTTCTAATGTTCGTCTCGAAGGCTTATGGCGGGCGTGCCTCCGATAAATTTATCACGGCTGACTCGGGCGTCCAGGACTACTTTTTTCCTGGCGACGAGATCATGGCCGACAGAGGCTTCTCTCTGGACCGTGATCTGGAGGTCCTTGGTGTGAAGCTGAATGTTCCTGCCTTTACTAAAGGTATTTCTCACAAGACAGCTCGTCAAATGTTGAAGAGCTTAATCTAATTTTTTGTTTTTTGATTTTACAGGGAAAGCACAGCTCAGCGAGAGAGAAGTAACAGGAACTCGCCGGATCGCCTCGGTCCGTATCCATGTGGAACGTGCCATTAACCGAATTAAGACCTACCGAATATTTAAACAAGCACTGCCAATCAGGTCAAAGAAGATGATTAGTGATATGATTTTTGTGTGTGCGGGATTGTGCAATCTCAAGCCTGCTCTCAATGCCAGTACTTTTGAAAAATAATTGGACCGTAGACTTACGTTGACCCAAGCTGCCCGCCAGTACTGAATCGGTATCATTGATTTTGGAGGACAGCCCAGCCCTGAGGAAAAACATTTTAATTAAGAACAATTAAATTTTTGTCAATACGTGAAGGAAAAGTTATTAGAATAAAATGAAAAGCTTCAGATAATTACATTAGAGTGGTCACCCATATCATTATTATTATTGTGAAGCGTTGTAAGAGTGCATAGAAATTGTAAGAAGTAGATATGAAGTCTTAATTTTTAACCGATCATCACAGCTTTTAGCATCCATTCAAAAGAAATTGCCAAAGACACCAATTTTTGTAAACTAAATAGACGCCGAAAAACATTCACTGGTTTTCCGAATAGAGAAACAATGGAGAATCTCCAGGCTAAAAATAATGTGCCCCGATCCCCCAGACAAACAGCACGAGGTGGAACACACAAATTTTTATCACTCTAACCGAAAGAACACACAAAACGTCTTCACTCAGGTCCAGTTCTGGCCAGGAAACGGGACAGAAAGTAATGGTTACATACTGGTCTCTAGGCCTGCGGTACCTACATTGCACTGAGCTGCCTATATCGTCCTTCAATCGTCAACAGTCCTTGCTCGTACAGCCTCTCAATGCGTGGCAGCATTTCGGTGAAGTAGAACCTTCTCATTCGTGGCATGTTGTTCGTGATGTACTCTTCGTTAAGCTTCACTTTCACGACGGTTGCACTTTTAATGCTCCAGATGTAGAAGAAACAGGTCTTCTTCCCTGTGCAAAGCATCTGGAATTGCACTTGTGCATAGAATCTGTTATGTCCATTTTGAAGCAGGTCATACACTCTGTCCCCTGTGAGCTTCAAATCATACTTGGCTGGCGTTTTGAGGCAGTCGTCCGTATCTGGGCACTTGATTTCAAGAAGCGCATCACAGTCTTCAATGATGCCGTCTGGACTGGCAGAAAGCCATGGCATGTGGCTGCAGATAACCGTTCCGCACTGGTTGACACTCAGCTTATAGTCCCGCACAAATTGAGCTCGTGCGACAGGCTCGTAGATCTGTCCATGGCGCGTGGATGCATTTCCTGCGAATTTGGGGCACACTACACTTGATGCAGATTTCTCCAACGATGTTGTTGGGCGAATGGGCACCACCTTGACTTTGGAAGCGGTGAGCCTAACCCGTCTTGCTATGTGCCAGAGGGGTGTGGCCGACTGCAGCCTTGTCTCCCCCTCAAGGAGGACTGCTGCTGCAGGGCTCAGCATTACAAATTTTTCATAGAAACTGTTGCAAGCGGTACAGCTTCGAGGAAGGCTGTCAACATCTTCGTGGCTAGTGTGATCCCTAGTTCTGTCTTGTGCCACCTCGTTCCGTTGCTTGCGTGCTGGTGCATTGAGGGACTGGTACAGAAGTGTTCCTGTATGAAATATAAACATAAAAATTATGACTAGGCTCACTGGATATTTTGTTTTTATATAAGGAAAAGAGAGTCTTGTTTTTTTGTGTGTAGGTGGTTAAAGACGGACAGTGTTTGTGTACCTGCAGAACCTAACAATCTAGCCGAAGACCTTCCTAACCTATTAAATGACAAGCAAATGAAAGAGTTCTGCCATTTTATCAAGTAGAGCTAAAAAGAAAATCACACTGTAGGTTAGTTATTTTCAAAATAATTATTAAATATGGTGGTTCCTAGACATCTATCGTTTGTACACTCTTAATGTTTGATTACATTGCATGCTTTGTTATACTCTGTCATATGGCAGAGTTTGTGTATGATGCACTATCGTTAACAATATGAATAGGATTGCTGGAGTATGTAACCTTGGGTTCATGCTGCACTACCTCCAGGCCAATAAAACAGCGGAGTGAACGAAGAGAACAGATGGGCTGCAATAATGAGCACTAAGTAAGTGCACATTTTTGCAGCCCCTTTCCACTTCAGTTTTACCAGCCTCGAGGTAGTGCAGCAAGTTCCAAAGGTCACTTGCTCTGGCGTTCCCAGCACATACGATTCACAATAGTACATTGCGTCTTTGATGTCACATTGTGCACATATTTGCATTTGTATAATATTGCTATGTTTTCATGTGGAATTCTATTGTTTTTTGTCCCCATTTTGAAACTTGCATATCTACTGCTGGAAGCCGCATACAAGCGTACTACGCTTCAGTCGGCCTGTGGCTTCTAATTTCATTGTTTTCCTGTATGTTGTGTAAAATAAAGTGAGCAATGCATTCTGGTGATGCCTCTTTCAGATTACTTCTGTTAAATAGTATTATAGTTTTACACAAACAAAGCATTTGATGAGAAAACATACCCGGAACTTGGAAAAGCCCTGGATATGGCGAGTTCTCATGAAGAGATTTTAGCTGGGCAGCGTCCATCACAGTCTTCAGAGGCCTTAGCTGGCTAGCTTGGGTAGGTTCATCCACAGTCCTTTTTTCAAGCTTAAATGTGATCTTACTTAGCCTCCCAGGCTCTACATTTCGCTTCGTACCCTTATTCCACTGTGCTTCACTGTCTGTGCAGCTGAGGCCTGTCATGCCTCTGGCAACAGCCAGGTCTACTTTCCACAAGACTGCACCAACATGGCTGCACACTCTAGCCTGACCTGCCATGCAAGTGCAGCCAGCCGTTATCACTTCTCCAGTGTTCTTCGCACACACCCACACATTTTTTGCAGGATTGTTAACAGCCTGCGACGGCTTCACTTGGCCTTTGATGTAGGTGACAGCCTCGTCTACCTGGTGCACACTCAGGGCCCCGACCCACCCACACTGCAGATAGTTGTATGAATCCAGGCTCTTGAAAGCTTTCACATCCTTGAGGTCGCATGCTTGTGTACTAAGTAAATAGTAAACAATGTCGGCCTGCCTGATACCAGGCCACAGTCTGATGTCGTCAATCCACATAGTGACGTCTTCTGGGTGAGCATAGTACTCGCCATCTGAAATGAGTGGAGGCTGCATGTTACATAATATACACACCGGTTGCTTATAACTACAAATCACTACTTGTAACTTACCCCCAAGTAAGAGATTGGTTCAAGGGTTGCACACTGGGCACATACCAAATGTTTCCAAATTCTGATTTGGCCTAACGAAATGCTGTTTGTTAATTTTACTTTTACCAACAATATTTGTGAGTGTCAAAACACCCACTGCGGTTGAAAAAAAAATGGAGAAGTTAGTTTCATAACATCGGGACTCCTGCAGAGTGAGGATCGGGCTCTGAAGATCCCTCACATTTTTCATCACAGATGCGCGACTTTCTTAAATCGTTCGCGTTTATAGCAAAAGATTACCCTACGAACGCACGTTTCCACCGCACGAGCGTCTGTCTGTCCGTGCTCTCTTACACGGCGCACATGCTTGTACTGAAAATTCTACAAGCGATACCTGCGCTACGTCGCATTCTTTAACACTGCGCTAAATGCTACTGTTTATAAAACGCAAAGTAAACAAACATTCGCGGGTTTGCAGAAGACATGTTACATATATCGCGTTCGCATATCGATAGGCGTTGGCCGGTAAAGCAGCAGTCTGTTTTCACCGAGCGTCGCGACGGCCGGTGCTACTGATGTCGTCGGCTGGTAGTTGAGAGCTTCCCTGAGCAAAGCCGTTGCCCTAAATGACGTGTGTGGTTGCCAATTGTTGTGCCTAAATAAGAAGTATAATCCTGCAGCTCGAATCAAATTTGTGGACCAGCCGGTGGCCGAGTGCTTATCGCGTAATCAACATTGCGTGCTGCACGTTAATAACATCACTGCACTGGCCAAATGCCGCGTTTGCCAAATCCAAATGGCCTATCTACAGTGAATAAACACTAAAGGCTGAACTCTATGGGACGAATATGCTGCGAATAACCGACGGATTTTGCCCGGCGGCTTTTGCTCTGCGCGTCGAATCAACACAGTGGCTGCTACGTCGCGCGCAAAGCGAGCGTGCCGTCGGGCAGCGTTTGCCAGTTATTCGTCACATAATTCGTTCCATGGAGTTCAGCTTTAAGTCGTTCCCCTTGATGGCCGAGAAATTTGCCCATCGGCCTACCTATTTTTTAACCCCCTTACTTCGCATTGCAACTCACCTCTGATCAGTACCGGCGGCTTCGACGGCGGCGTCGGCGGCGTGATAGCCGCTCCGGCAGTCGCACGGGCGGACGCCATCCTTCCGAAAGCGTAAAAAACAACTTATATGCGGACTAGAAAAATCCAGGGTAGCGAAAAGATGTATAAAAGATAAAATAAACAGTTCGTCCAATAAAATATGGGGAAAACGGCTCGTGGAAACGCGCTGTAGCACAGGCCGTTCAGGTAGATTCACGCATGGACACTCGTCGCCCACAGCTCGGCATGGCGCTGACACCGGCCAGCCACTAGAGGTCGCGGTAGACGGCTATGGCCGCTCCCTATCGGCTAAAATTGCAAAGGTCTATACCAAAATGTAATCGACAAAAAAAGCTGCTTGAAGCTGTGTACTTTTTTCACCTATTACGTCCAGGCTGATTACATTTTTTTTGTGATTATATTTCTATTCCGTTACTAGAGCCTCGCACACTTACTCCCGAGTGTGCGATGCAAAATTAAAATGAGATACCCAGAAACCCGTTGCAGGTGCCCTGAAGTCGCTGACGCAAATTTTGAGGAATGTATTTGGAAAAGTATCTGGAAGGAGACCAAATACATTTGGTTGTATTTGTATCTTGTACTTAAATGCTTTTTTTGGAAATGTAATTAGATTTGTAATTAAAAACATTTTTGACGAAGTATTTTGTATTTGTATTTCGATACATATTTGCATGTATTTTGCCCATCCCTGCATACATGTATGTATTGTTCGCATATTTCTGCCGACATATTTTTGTACGAACAATATGAGGGGAGCGTCAAAAGCCTCAGACAGTGTTTGCAGACTTTTTTTAGTGGTGTATAAGTGCACGCCACCGAAACATGTCGTCGTCAATATCCCCGGAATCCCCAAAAGGGACACGTGCACATGCCCCCCTCCGGACACCCATTAGAACATCAATCATTGTAACACAGAAGTTGTTATTGACTGCGACGTCTCAGTTAGGACGTTGACGAAGCACGTCAGGTCACGCGATTTGCAAATTTATAATGTCAGCTTGACCGAATGAAGTTAGAGCTTCCGTGTAGCACGAAAGTGAGCGCGTTCGAGCGAGGGAATCCCGGTCAGATAGGGTTAGACAGCCTCGTTATATAGCCTCGAGTCAAGTGCCAGCGTGAGGCACGCATTCTTGGATTCTATTTTGCAAAATGTATGTTCGTTATAAATGCGAGGTATGTAATTGTCAGAAAAATAGTTACCCATCCCTCCGTTTGTCGGAGGGGGATTTCCCCGAAGAGTATATAGGCCGATAATGTGAATAATTAAGCTAGGTTTCTTTTAATTTTGGTTTGGAATAATAATAATGAAGCTTCACCGGCTAATCGTTTCCATGCTGCTATTTCTTTGACCAAAACGCTGCGTTTCAGACATTTTCCACAGGAGAGCCGCCATCTTGAATTGTCGTCACTTCCAGTATGGGCGACGACAAAATAATAAAACGTTTCAACCTGCAACTAGAAAAAAAAATAGAGGGGAGCCAAAACGAGACTGCGTGACGGTTAGGCTTATATCCTAAATGTGTTTTATTGGCGTGGCGACGGCGAAACAATGTTTTCGCCCATACTGGAAGTGACGACAATTCAAGATGGCGGCACCCTTGTGGAAAAGGTCTAATCGAAGAACGCCACTCCAGAGGGTGTGTGTGTGCTGGCGATGTAGAAAAAGGAAAGGGGTCAATAGTGGGAGTAGGCAAGCTCCAGCGGGCGCAGCTATGTCAAGTAAAGTATTTGGCTATGTGGTAGCAAAATGCTTTTCGGGAAGGGACTTGTGAGTGACGTCAGCGATCGGAGGAAGCAGAGGGACTCCCTCCCCGGCTCCAGGGGAGCCGATATTGATATATTTCTTTATTTAACCCTTGGGAAGAACCCGAGATCGCACCCACAAGAAGAAAGGCTCCGTGCGGCTGACGAGAGTAAAAGAAAAAAAAAAAAATTAAGGCGTACGTAAAATGGCGGTACTCGATTAGGACAGCAGAGTTGTTAGGTACCGAAGACGCAAAATTGGTTCCGTCTGAATAAAGATGCCGATCGAAAGGGGGTGCAACAGAGAGAACGTGGAATCCGAAACCAGTTGTTTGCTTGACGTCGACATTGATGAACACCAAAAACATTGCTCGTGAAAACGTAGAAGAAACGTTCAACGAGCCGACGACCTGCGAAAACCACAAGTTATGGCGATCCCAATGCCACCACCGGTTTTCCGCGGACCAGACACCCGAACAAAATACCATTGCGAAGCGACGGTTTGTGCAGCCCGAGCAAAAGCTTGCCCATCTCCCTGGGATGTTTGCGTCAGCGCGGCTCTACGTAAAGACGTGAGGTGTTACCACGTGATGCGCATTCCGGGATCAACAAAGGTAGGGATTGCTCCCCCTACACGACGGACCAAGGCGACGGACCGAATCGCGATTTTCGTCCGCGGACCGTGTACCATGTGACCGTCACGTCACTGATTCCTGCGCTCGGCCTCTCGTCCGCGGACGCACGGACTGATGAAGTCGAGCCTCTTTTCACTCTCAGATTTTTGGCGGATCATTGACTTGAACAGGCGTTTAGTCTGGCAACGGTACAATGTTTTCTTGATCTGTGTCACGGCCCGTGTCACTGTCATGCCTTGAGTTGGTAAAGCAAGTGGCGCTTCGCGTGAAGCCTATCACGGGGTTCTGTCTTGATCTGTACGTAACATCGGCGTACGATTCTTTGTCGCGGTAGCAAACGCCGATTTATCTCTTGGACAATGGTGCCACGGTGCGATGTTAGAGCTTCGCGGCACGAGGGCTAGCGAACGGGTTTGGTCCGTCCTCGCTGGCGTCTGCTCGTCGTCTCCCTCGTGTGGATGCGCTTGGCAGTCGGGCGAAGCGAATACAACTGCTCCCCCCCTCCCTACACACACACACATACAATTATCCCCCGCCCCCCTTTTTGTACCACAGAAACAAGTTACACATTGGTCAACGCTCAGACTCTACCTTAATATTGTAGTAGTGGTTCGAACCATATGCCAAGTTTTCAGAACTAACCATTGTCTTATTCAAAAACTATAAAGAAGTTTCTTCAACATCCGAAAAAAGAAAAAAAAAAAAAACAACAACAAGAAAGAAAAAAAAAAAAAAAAAACCGCTGCGGCAGAAACAGTTGCGCTACTATATCGCGTACAGTTCGCGGTCCTGAAGTACGGATGGAAGTCAGTTCTCCAAATCAGGCTCGTACGGTAGTTTGCTAATTGAGTCACCACAACCAAACGTAAGATCGTGAATCAAACACCAGCGTGTTTTCCGCAGATCTGGCTCGAGGCGAGACTCTCCTGGAAGTGGGCGCCGGCCCGATTGCCTGGTACTCTTTCATGTCCTCCAGTCGGTTCAGCGACATCGTGCTGAGCGACTTGGTCGAGGACAACAGAATGGAGCTCACAAAGTGGCTGGTCAAAAGCGAAGATGCAATCGACTGGACCTCGCGTGCTGAGCAAGTGGCCGCCTTGGAGGGCTACAGGTATTATACAAACACGCGCGGCTCTGATGGGCGCATCAGAGGTGTCAGGCACGTAGCAAGGATTTTGTTTCGGGGGGTGGGGAGCCCAGTGACAAAATGCTGTATGAGGGGGAGGGGGAGAGGAGGTCCTAGCAAAATGAAAATGGAAGATTTCTGGGGGGGGGGGGGGGGGGGGGGGGGGGGGGGGGAGGGCCCGGGCTCTATGCCCCCCCTTCCCCCCTGGCTACGTGCCTGAGAGGTGTCCCTGCTGTCAGCCCGGTGCACGCGCAGACTCGAATCAAGCTTCTGTGTCTGCGCAGTGCACACGCCTGGCCTGGGCAAACGCAAGCTTGGTTAGAGCGTCGGTCTATATACGCAAAGAACCTAGAGAAACCGTGAATCAGCAGGGTGTACATGGGTTAAAGTGGAAGCTCTTCCCGACCCTTCCCTTTTTAGCAGAGCGAACGCTGGAGAGGAGGCGACCTCCTCGCCAGCGTCCGCTCTGCTAAAGTGGAGTGGGGTGGGAGGGGCTTTTACTTTACTCTTAACCTGTCACCGACTAGAACTTTTGTAACGAAGCACGTAAACCAGCACGTGAAGGTAATGAACCTTATTGGTTTCGCTGTGAATTTCCAAAAGATACGTACGCACGGACAATTTACCGACGCCTAAAGCGTGTTAGGGCTGGCTTCTTAATTTAGAGACACTGCAAGTTTCTAAAAAAAAACGTTAAAGCTGATTTTTAAAAAAATTTATTTGGATGCGATTGTGAACGTTTTGACATATGCAACTTAAAAAAATATATGTATAAAGTAGTCTTCAGATACGTAATCCGCGGTCAGAATTGATGAAAAAGATAACGCTTACTCACACCGCGGGTATACCGGCCTTGAAGAGCATGCTACGGCCGATTAAGTTCCATCGATACTTTGCATCAATCATATTGACGCAGAATGGCCGGTTTTGTGCTTGCATCGGCATTCCTAACAAAGTACAAAAAACTGAAACGGGCGAAAGAGGAAAAACGGACCCAAACAGGTATAGACTTAAATATACGACGCATTCCGCGTCCATCGGCTTCATCGGGTAAAACATAAACACTGCCTCACCGGGAGGCTCGAGCTTAGTAAAACTCCATTCATCGGCGAATATTCGGGCAGTATTTGTGGCCCGTTTCCTGTGGTGACAGAAGTCGCCGAGATCTAGCAAGATCCAAAGCACACAGCTTGCGCTTTGGGCACTGCTTGTTAACTCGGACATGTGAGTGTGGCGAATATTTGCGTCCCCACCTGGCGAAAGTATAGCTGTCAATGTTTTCTGTCTAACAATTCCATTTCTCGACTATTTTTTGTAGCATTTAACGTTTAGTGCGCGGTCCCTGTTGAAAAAATTCATTTGTATAAGAAATTTTTGTGTCCAATGAACACATATGAATCACACAAGATATATAATAACACATAAGAACCATATAAGAACTATATAAGATATATAAGATCACACAGGAAACATGCATATGAAACTTGAAAAGTTTGTTTAAGTTTCTTTAATGATTCATATATGTTCTTATATACCTTATACGCCATTCTTATATATTCTTATATACCTTATATGGTTCTTATATGTTCTTATACAGTAAACCCTGTTTAGAACGAACCCACGTACAGCGAAATATTGTCAATATCGAACTCGCTCAAAATTTAAATAAAAATGCACGTAAAAAGTACTTTTCTATAACGAACACAAAATTGGCTCTGTCGAACTTTTCCCCCCGGAAAGGCTTCCAGAAACGCGCAAACAATCGCCTTCTAGCCTGTC